TCAGCTCGGTGGTGCTGTCATGCCCATCAAGAACGTAAGTACCCAGCACATCTATATTAACATGAATCAGGAAGGATTATCAGATCACTGGAAATAAAAGTGATTTGTTTTAGGTGGCTTTTTAATAGCTTACATCGAACGGGCTGGATTTTGTCACTAGACTTTATACGTCGTCAGTGATGATTCTTGAAAAATATATATATTCAAATAATTTGTTATTCTGTATTACGCAGTCAGGTGATGATACATCTCCGGAATCTCTGTACTTCTTTGATGAAAAACGTGAACCCCTTTTCTGATGACTGCTTTTTCAATTCTAGCTTGAAAAACAAATTGGTTTTCCCAAAATATGATCCATTACACTCCACTTCTATTTGCATAAATTAACTTATTAGTGGGAGTCTGTCCTTTAGAGACACAATTATCACGCAATATGTGTTCACCCTTTTTCTTCTTCATTCTCCCAGGTGCACAAAACCGAGAAGGCTCGTGTTATCTCTGAGGATGAGAAGAACTTCAAGGCCTTCGCCAGCCTGCGTATGGCTCGCGCCAATGCTCGTCTCTTCGGCATCCGTGCCAAGAGAGCAAAGGAGGCCGCCGAGCAGGACGTGGAAAAGAAGAAGTAAAAATAGTTGCTCTGGAACTTTGAAAAATAAAGTGTGGAAACAAGATCAGTGTGAGAATGTCAAGATTATTTAATAGTAAGAGTTGTCAAGGAGCATCACAGCAGATACTTTTATGGTTGATTCCCAAACATGGATCACTTTAACCTTCAAGGTATCAAGAGGGTTTCTATATGCTATCAAATGTGTTAAATGTTTGCTCAGAACTATGGTCGGTAAAAATACGTTTTTTGAATATAAACTATTCTTTTTATCATAACATTTTAATTTGAAACCGGGTGTCGGGAGGAAAAACAAACCAGACAGTTCTAAGGGCCTGATAGCTAAAATCAGAGCCAAGCTTACTAGAATGAATGGACCCTGATCACAGCAGACCTCAGGACTCGTCATGATTAAGGAAAAGTGCAGTGATGGCTCTATCTGTTGTGTGCCAGCAAGCACTCTGGAGACCCTGAGGCCCCTGGAGGAAGTAAGTCAAGTGGGGTCTTCTGGTGATTTTCTTGCCCAGAGGTGTTGGTTGGTTAAAAAGGCAGCACAGTAAAATATTTTCCAGTAACTATCAAAAGTTTAAGTCCTGACAGCTGTAGAGTAAAAACTAAGCAGTTAATACAAAATATAAAATAACTACTTATTCCCTCAATATACTTGGAGATGTATCTGATTTATAAATGAGTCCAAAGTATAAGCTAAAAACAAATGTTAACTAAAGTCCTCACTCTATATTGGGCTCATTTACAGCAGTAGATGGCGCTAGAGTCACAACATGTAATGCATGGAGACCACATTTAGGAGCATGGTTTGTTGACTAATTGGGGAATATCACATCTATTTTTGAAACATCTGGACTTTTAACGGTTATTAACATGACGAGACACTTGCATTGCCCTGTTTTTTCACATTCCCACCTGTATTTTGTCCGTAACCCAGCAGTGAGTAGAAGAAAGCATGTTGAGGGCAAATTGCCCGGTTAAGAGCCAACTTTTTGAGTCGGGTTGCCAGAAATTATAGAAAAAAGGACAGTCTGAACAGTTGAAGAGGGCGACCCAGGTACAGCATCTTGACATGACAGACTATAATAAAAGAACACATTTTATCTACAGCATGGTAATGTACAGGTTGGAAAAGTGGCGGAGTGTCTGAGGCAGAAGAAAGTTGGAAGAGGTGGAAAAGCCAGTAAAAAATCTCATCCCAGTGGGACACTTTCACTCTGCTTCTGCAGGTGGGGTAAGTCGATTTTTCTAAAGAAGTTATGTGCTGCCAGAAGCAAAATGGACTGTTAAAATTAAACATTGCCATGACAACTGAGATTCCTGACATTCGTAAACCATATGTGCGTGTTTGGTGTGCTGTGGTGTGATCAATGAATAAATACAAAGTTAAACAAAACACAAGTGCCGAGAAATTCCCCGTTGAGTGAGGTAGGCCATTTGTAATGCATTAGTCATCACCATTTGAATATCCACTTTCACAAAAATGATCCCAAGACGAGAATACACAGACCTAAACTGAATGTCCTTGTCTGTGTCTCGTTAAGTGTCTCTGTGTTCCAGCTGTCTGAACGCATATAAATAATTCAGTAAATGAAGGTGAGTGGACAGTCAGGACCAGGGGTGATGGATATGGCTGATATGGAAACTAAAATGGCCGGACCTTTTAATCCTGAAGATAGGGTACTGCAAAACACAAATGTTAAAGGACACTATATTGTGTGAATCATTTCCTAATCATCCTCCTTTATCAGTGTAAAGACAACAATTAACGATTTTCATTCACCTATTCACCCGTGAATTTAGATGAACCACATTATTCAAGCAAACCAGATACCACACAAGTCAAAAACCTGTGCTAAAACCTGATGTTAATGGCTTAAATTCCTTAGATTTGATAAAAAATCAAGGAGGGGGTTGTGTTAATTAAATGTAGCCTATATAAAAGACCGACTCATAGCTGAAACTTTAAAGTCAGCTATTCAGACAGTCTATTGACAGGAAATTCATTTGAGTATTTAACCAACACTAAGCATTATTACCCTTTTAATATTTCCCACTTGGGTTACTTAATTATATTCCCCTATTCAACTGAAATCAATCAGGTTAAGTGTGAGCTGGCATCCTGCAGTATCAGCCCTGTGATGCATTTTGGGTATCGTGTTTACACTTTAAAAATTTAACTGATGACTTCATGAGCGCAGTACTTGTCAGGTCAGTAAGGCAGATATAATGATGACAGAGGAGATCTGTGGAGTTAACATTGCTGTTCACTGAGCCTGCTGAAACACAAGCTCCGTGATTGATTAACTTTAACAGGGATGAAGAAGCTTTACCATCAACAAGAACCAAGATGTTAGAATCAATATTGTTGCTAAAAATGTTTTTAAAAACACTCCCTGTGGACAAAAATACATCTATTTGAGGCCTTAAAAAAAACTGTGGATGATGTTAGACAAACAGCGGAGCTAGTTTGACCAAAATGATGGCTGCGTCAGGCCATGTCTTAAGATCTTCCTAATTTGGATATTGTACACGCAATGTGGTCAGTGAGTGTGGAGAATCAGCTGATCCGAAGCAGCGGCAGATGGCTGTTGTTTGGAGCTGTGGCGTAACAGGGCTCAGGTGTGTGCCTTAAAGCAGACAATTCCTAGTGACTCTGAATACCCATGGAAGACGAGGCAGTGAGGTTGAAAAAAGTGACTTTGGGCGATGTCAGAAACCATTCAGTTTCCACTTCAAACTCAGTGTGTGCAGATCCAGGCGTGGATATGTGACTTTAGTTTGAAGGGTTTTAGTAATGTAATCAACCTTTAGGGAAAATGAGTTGGTTCTGTGTGTTGTTCGGTGTCTAAGTTGCATGGTTATCAATCTTAACAGTGCAGATAATTAAAAAGCAGGGAACCAAGTTCTCTATTTTTCAAGCCCTTGTTATAATTTGATTAATCTGCCCGTCTGCATACATCCTCATTTTAGCTAAAAGCCTCTGAGTGGCTCAACTCTCAAAGCATCAGCCGTGCCCTCTTGAAATCAAAGACAGTTGTAATTCTGCCAAGCTCCAATGTTCATATTGTCAGAAGGACACTTAAAAATCAGGAAGAAGCCTTCGGGAATAAAATACCACGAAAGCTACTAATTTATTTCACCATAAATTGAACTACACTGGGCTGTTTTAAACAGTCAACCAAAAGCTTTTATTTTTGCTTTGCACTTTATTCTGATGAACCCAAACTTCCCAAATCATTGTGTGTATTTCTCTAGCTGCATTGTCCTTCACTTCTGTTTTGCAGAAACTTGAGGGCTGCTGTTTTGGCAGTGCAATCTAACAATCTATAAACGTTATGCAATGCCTGGAAATACATTCATGAAAATAATACATTTGTGGGTGGACTGTGAAAAGGTTCAAGCATAAACGTTGTGTAGAAACAATACATTATGTAACATACATTGCTGTCAAAAAAAATTAAATCCACAGAATGAATCAGCTCATGATCATTTTGATGTGAGGGACATTAGACTTATGTGTGTGTGCATGCAAACATGTGTGCATGTCTGTATTTAATAAAGCTTAGAGAGCGGGAGGTCACAAGCCCTCAGCTGTCTGGAGCTCGCTCATGCAGATATGATTATGATGTGCTGCTGAATGATGATCCATCCTTTAAGTTCCTGTTGATTTCTCTGTGAAATGTCTCACATTTGCATCCCTAGCATTTCTATTATTGAGGTGACACAAAGCCTGTCAGAGCCAGTTGATTAAGGCAGGAATTGCCTTTTTTCTGAGTGCAAATGTATAAACTATAGATTCTTGGGAGAGAATTCCCATCTGGTTTCACTTTTTATGTGACCACACTTCTCATTTTCGATTGTGAGCATGCTGTTGGAGTATCTGTGTATATAGTGTCAAATGCTTACCCGCTATAGGCAGAACATGCAATATGTAAACATGATCATAATGCTAATGAGAGATGCTTACATACAGCCATGCTCAGTGTGACACTTTAATTACAGTAGGCTGAGGCTGGAGAGAAATCTGATTGATATATCTATCTAAATATGCTGTATATTGATTCCCCTCTATTGAGACAGCAGAGGATTATTTGTGCAAAGAGATTAACTCCAAATCAAAGGAAGCGTGAAAGATACTGCATCTCACCCTTACATCTAAATGTATTAATTTGTGAGTTCATCATTCTTTTAGCTCAGGAAATGTCAGCAATCAAAATGTATTTTGTGTCCAGTTATTAAAGGTCGATTTTGTCCTGAACTCTGAATAATCGAGTCCCAGTGAAAGCCTCATCCTTACATCAGCAGCTGGACTCTCTCCACTCCCATCTCTCTGCAAGCCGAGCCTACTCCCTCCTCACCAGTCCAACCAATGAGTGTCGGCGGAGAGGGAGAGGAAAATAATCAAGCGGTGTGTTATGAGTGAGATTTTTTTAAACAAGTGTGTTCAAGAGTAAAGAACAACGACAGGTAGGAAGTGACTTTGTCGCTCTTAACTTGGTCTTCAGCAGTTTAATCGATTTGAGAAAGGATCATATTGCGTTTGGCTGTTTATTTTTCAATCAGCTCTATATTTCCTTATCGGAAGTGTGTAATATAATGACACGCGCCGTTATCAAAGTAGCGCGTTCGTTTTTAGTTCGATGCTTTGCTAATTGTGAGGGAAAACCACGGTAGATATTTATTTAGCTCTGAGTGTTAGCTGGGTATTTTAAAGATTGCACATTTGCAGCGGAGTTGATTTAATGTGATGAATTATTAGGAAAGCATTTGGTTGCGTTTCCTGTATCGCTTTCAAGTTGTTGGATAGAATCGGTAGCGGACGTGTTGCTTAAGGAAGAGATTTCCTTTACATTACAACTTTTGTTTCGGTCATATTTTATGGATGCTGATTGTGTTCCGAGCTTTTTTTAGTTAAGTTTGACATTGATGCTTTTGGGTAACATCTGATCAGAGCTGGCAAAGGAAAAAACCGGGCGCTGTCCCTGGTACTGGAAAACACTTGTCGTTTGTCTCCTAAGAATGGGACAATTACAGTGAAGGATGCTGGTGGAGCATTTCAACCCCCGCCCTTATTACTTTCCATTCCTTTAAAACAGTTAGATATGGTCAGATAACATTTGTTCTAGGACACTTCAGCAGGGCGGATGCTTGCCACGTGAAACAAAATAAGGTCCTTTTTCTCAGGTGTACCAATAAAGCCACTCCATGTGTTTGCTAGATTATTTATTCTATCCACCACTTTCACTTGTTTACCCATTATTAAAGGAGGGGAAAACAATGTTTGCATTGAGAACTGGTGATAAGAAATAGTGGCATGCGGAAAATGATTGTATTTTTGAGGATATAGCCTAGAGTGACATCCTCCTTCTTTTTCATACTGGAGTTAAGAGCTTAAAAAAGAAAGAAAGCAACAGTTTTGACCGTGTTAAATGAATCTTTTCAGGGATCTGATCGAGGCTCCTGAAAGCACTACCCCAGCACCTTCATGTCCCGTTTCTCGTCGTTACCGAGGTGAGATGATACTCCTCTGACAGGCAGTGATAACACATTGGGTTTGCTGTCGTCCCCTGGAACTCAATAGGAATCTCTTTTTTTTTTATATGACATCTGTACCAAGTGAAAAGAGCCAGTCTCCTGTGAGCACACGTCTTTACTGAGATCCCTCGACACACCACTACATCTTCCCATCCCTCGGCGCTACCACATCGTACTGCTTCGCTGGTTGGCAGTCCCTCTCACCCTGAGCCAGGATGAATGATGTTCTGGAGGCCATCTCCCCGGCGACCAGCCTCAGCGGTCCGGCTACCTGTGTGTCCAAAGTAGAGCTGCGTGTTTCTTGCAAAGGCCTGCTGGACCGAGACACGCTGAACAAGTCAGACCCATGTGTCATACTCATGGTGCAAAACAACGGACAGTGGACAGAGGTAAGCCCCCCCACCCCCTTTATTTTCTTCAATCTGACAAATGCACAGTTGGACCTCTTGGGTAAAGCGTGGGCAACCACCAATTATATATGGGCAGCAATGAATCCATCATCTTTTATTTAATCTCAGTCATTAACCACATTATTTAATGTGTAAAAAAATCGTGCCTTGAATCTCACATGCTTAGGGGCTCATATTATTCTAATTGCATTGCCTGGGGGTTTTCTGAGCAGAATGTTTTCTTAATGGTTACAATAAGCTGTTATACAAAAGACACTGTGTAAATCACAGATGCCCAGCCTTCTTTTTAAAGATGAATTTTAAGATGAATCGGTGGTGATGTGTGAAATGTTCAAGTTACTCCATGTGGGTGAATGTGCAAACCCACTCCAATTATCCCTAAATCTTTGTTGTCATCAAGATCGACCAGGGAGATGAATATGTTAATGGTTTGCTGAACTTGCAGCTGTTTTTTTAGATCACGGCTTACACAACAGCTGCCTGGCTCAGGATTTTAAAAAATGAAATGAAGAGTACAATTGCAGGGGAAGAGTGAGATGATCTGCCCTAGCATTATACTAACTACTTCATACTATAACAGATTGTGCATTCTGTCCACTGATCTACATGGGTGGACACACATTGGTAATGAGCAAGGTGATGAGGTGTGTTCAGGCTACAAATGTTTACTTTCTTGGATTGGTCCCATCTGATTTGGACGTGGGCAGCAGGTCTCTCATTTCCATGTTAATTAAGTAATTCAGTTCACAGGGGAAAGCCAAAGCACGAGTCTCCATTAAGATGTGTTAAAACAGGGCTGAGGATATCTAATTATATGGATTTGTCCACCCTCCCCTGGATGTGAACCAACAAAGAGCTATCTTTTCAGGGATGCGATATCATTTGTTAAGTGTTACTCTGTCACGTGCAGGGAGCCAGTCTTTGAAGATGCGCTCTGCAATGTTTGGGCTGTATGAATGTGGAACATTGAGATACTATTATGATAAAGACACTCAGTGTTGAGCACACAGTTATGGATTTTCTTGGTTGTAATTTGATCGGAGGTTATTACACGAGAAGACTGACCTGGGTTCCTCTATCTATCTATCCATCCATCCATCTATCTATCTATCTATCTATCTATCTATCTATCTATCTATCTATCTATCTATCTATCTATCTATCTATCTATCTATCTATCTATCTATCCATCTATCTATCTATCTATCTATCTATCTATCTATCTATCTATCTATCTATCTATCTATCTATCTATCTATCTATCTATCTATCTATCCATCTATCCATCTATCCATCCATCCTGAGTGCTGACAGTCATGACAGTGTACACAACTTGTCAGATTCTCTCCTGTCATATCACGCAGTACTGGGAGGCACCATTTCTTGTGCAAATAGTTTACTTACGTCAATAACTGAGTAAGAAGCTGAACCCACTCACACCACCGCCACCCTCTTTCTCTTTTCTGAGCTCACACTTTATGGAAACTGCATTTATTATTAACTTATGTCACTTCTTCCAAGGGCTAACAGGGTGGATTATCCTTGAGGATTTATCTTCTTTTTATATGAAATTGACTTAACATGCTCCCATGATAGAAAGACAATTTAGAACCAGATCTTTCTGATTTCTGACCACAGCTACAGGCACTTGTTATGATCAAGCTAGAGATACTGCTCTACCTTCCTGGCAGAACTGATTAAAGAAAGCCTTCCTTCTCCATGTCAGAAATCGCTCTATTATTCTGGCCCCACACCAACAACAAACAGGCGTCACAGTGTTGGGGAGAAACTATCCTCCGTTTGCACTGATAAGCTTTCGTCAACAAGCAGATTTATCAGACTCATTTCAAATCTGTCCATCCAGATGGCACAAAGAGAGAAGGAGCAGGCAGGAGAGGACAATAAAGAGGAATGGAGATGAATGAAGCTGAGGAAGCCAAATCCTAGCTGGAAGTTATTTTTCTTTCTTTGAGATGTTTGCCAGAGTTAAAAGGAAACAGTAGTGTGATCCCTGCTGCTAGTAATCCATCTCAAGTGCTATCATCTCATCATTATTTTGTTTTCCTCATACAACTGAGACGGATGTTAACTAGAGACCTAGTTAAGTTGTTCTCCTAGAACGTAACAGGAACCAAAGTCTGTTTGTTTTTAAGTCAGTGCTGTTTTTTTGTTCGAAGTGACAAAACAAATTCCAGTTTTTTTCAGTTTACTAACCAACAAAGCAAATTGCAATTGGTTGTCTGTAGAAGGATACTGAAGGTTCAAAATAAAGTCAACAGCAGGACAGCACTCCAATTAAATTCTTTATTCGTGCATGGATGTTTTGGGCAGATGTCCTTCCTCAGTGTGTAAGCTGTTAACAGTTGGGTAAAACACAATAAACAAGGATAGTGACATTTTAAGTTGTATAACGCAGTTACAGGCGGAAAAATGAATGAAGAAAATGAAAGTAGAAAACCAATTTTGATTTCGGTCAGAGTGCTCCAGTAGGGAAGGTCACTGCAAATCAATACAAAGCTATTCTGAACTTTTATTCTATGATGACACATTTCCATCCTTTTTGGAGAAGTCTCTTTCAGGATGATTATGCCCTCACTCAAAAAGAACAAGAGTTCAAATGGTTTGAGAAGTATCAAAATCGAATCTAATATAAAAATACAAATCATATTTTCTCTCTCCTGTTCTCAGCCGAGATTGACTCCTATGAGAGACATGTTAGACAATGCTCTCCACAACACCATTTGCAGCACTGAAGCTTCTGGTGGTGTTGATGTGTTAAATGTTAAAGGCCCTACATTTTCAGTCCTACTTTAGCTGCTCTAAAAACCTGTTTTTGTATACAAGATCGACCAGGGAGATAAATCTGTTAATGGTTTGCTGAACTTGCAGCTGTTATTTTGCCCCTTAAAAAAGGAAATGAAGGCTTGCACAACAGCTGCCTGATTCCGAATTAAAAATGTGAGATGTAGATTTACATTTGCAAAAGAACAGTGACTATTATCTGTCTTTACATTTGACTAATTTACAACAGATTGTAGATAAAAAAAAGTGGGTTGGACATAAGCAGTGTGATGCAGCTCTTTGTGAAACAACCCCCAGCCTAAAGGTATGGATATGCTCACATTAATTGGTTTGTATGACAACCACATTGTAGCAGCTTCCAAGGCGGTGTGAAAGTCTGTCATCACATATTAAGAGATCCAATAATAAATGGAAATTGGGGATAATGGCACAACATTGAGACAATCTCACTTGCAAGATATTAATATTGTTGGACTTGTTTTTGCATGTGAAAAGTGACAAAGCATATAAAAAGCCCGCTTAAGATATAGAGGTTCAAACCCAGGTTAAGTTCTCAGCTTTTCTGAAAAACACTGTCACAACCCAAGTGACACAATTAGACACAATAATGCAATGTCACCAATTCAAGTCCTCATGACACTGACCTCATGTTGTGATGGTGAATTACTGGCCTTGGATGCTGTCACATACACAATTGTGTATGGCTATTTTGAGGATGACCACTGGAGTTTTTTTTAGATGTAAATCCCTTTATAGTTCTTTAATTCAATGTCACTAGATCAGCTCCAAATTGTGGCTTTAGATGTGTCTATAATTTTCATAGGTTTCATAGGTCCCCAAAAAAGTTATGAACATCAGCATAACTACACTATGTTATGACAATTATGAGTGTGTGGATCTTTGCTGCATGTTTGTCCTTATTTAATCTCCGCTGACTAAAATATCATGTTCAATGGTGACATGTCCTTGTGACAAATTGGGCGATATAGAAATGTTGGTGGAGCTGTGCGAGCTAATCAGGAGCAGATGGGGCCTCAGAGAGCTCAGCTTTTCCTTGTCAGGCAGTGAAAGACAAGCATGGATGTTTTTTTTTGTACTGTGAGATTAAATGTCTGAACCCTAAAATCTTCTCTCACAACATCCTCTTGATGGAATGTAAAAACATTTGCCCTGCTGTAAACGCTGGTGTTCCACAATATAAAAAGAAATCATCATATTTTGGTGAGATCTTGCTGTAAAAATAGGTCACAAAGGGCAAACGTGCTGATACTCCATTAGATCTACTGTTGCTTTAATCACACACATACTGTAGTGAGTTAAATTAAGAAATATTAAAATGTTTAAATATCTTAACTGAACATGTGTGTTCCCTCCCAGCTGGACAGGACAGAAGTGATCAAGAGCAACTTGCACCCGGTCTTTGCCAAGGTTTTCTCATGGGACTACTTCTTTGAGGAGGTTCAGAAGCTACGATTTGAAGTCTATGACATCCACGGCACTCACAGCATCGGGACCCGAGATGATGACTTCCTGGGTGGGATGGAGTGTACTCTTGGCCAAGTAGGCAGATGCCAATGTCCTACTAACCCATTTCATTTACATGTACTGGTTTGTGCTCTCAAAATGCTGTAAAATACACAAAATATATCCACAGCTTGGTAGTAAATTCCACTCCTTGCTTTGTTTCAATTTGGGTACTTCTGCTAGTACACTTCTATGTTCTACACCGTGTACATGATTTACTTATTTGTGTACTGCTTTAACCTCTTTTAAATTACACACGGCTGTTCCTACTCACCGGGAATTATGTTTGCTGCTTTAGGATAGCTAGCTAAATAGTCAAGTTATTCTTTAAGAAAACACAATTATTACACACTGCATAGTAACCCAATTAACATACTGATGCTTCTAAATGACAACAGAAGTGGTGCTTTTGTTTAGAGCTGTGCTTATCCGAGTAACTGCTGCTGGTCCTTTCCTTCAAGTTGAGAAATATCCCGTATTCCACACTCAGCTTTTTGAATATAATGAGTGCAACATCTGGGTACTCATAGTGCGCTGCATTTTGTCATATCATACTTCTCAGTGTTAATGCATTTATGCAATGCAAATAGCAAGTGTAGTTAAAGAGGTCTATGTCCTGAGAGACAGCAAATGCTCTCTGCTCTTTACTGCTGAGGAAGGTTCAAGACTAACAATGTGTTTATGTTGTTCTTTGCAGATTGTGGCCCAAAAGAGGATGGTGAAGCCTTTGTTGCTAAAGTATGGGAAATATGCCGGCAAATCTACCATCACAGTGAGTTGTTTTCATGTCTCATATGTGTTTATGACCTTGTTGCTCTGATGAATGAAATTGTTGAGATTGCTGAAAAGTAAAGTGGAAGTCAGAACATATGACCAGGGAAAGCTGAGAGAAATAATGGATGTCAAATTGATCTGTAAAACTGATTTATTTTTATCTATATCCAATGTCACATCCGTTTACTCTTAGGCACCATTATGGAATAACATTTGTTATTGATTGAAAAGAACCAAAAGATACTTTGTTATCTCACCACTCAGAATGGCTTTATGTTGCTACTGAATATAATGAATTTGTTGTGGTGGTTAGTTGTCAGAAGTATACATTCTCTCTGATAATTGTCTCTAGTGTTCATCTTTGGTGCTATCAATGCAAACACACACAAGGAAGCAAGAGGAAATGATGCATGTATAAGAAATCACATGTGTCAGATGTGGAAGAGAAGAGCTGTTGGTTCATTAACCGCCATCTTCCAGTTAACAAGCCAGCAGTGCAAGCAAATATAAAAACAAGACGAGCTAGATTGTGCTGTGTCCTACACTCTGCCTCATTTGGGAATACACAAAAAAAAGGCAGGAAGTGGTCATTTTAGAATGAACTGTAGCAAATAAAAGTGCTAAGCATTATGTGTTGACAGGTTGAAGAAATATGGTATTCAATTGGGTTGGAGTCCTGTGCTGTGAGGAAAAAGTTAACTCTAAAAAAAATAATTAGTATATATGGATATATTTAAATATGTCCACAGCAAATACTTTTTTAAGGTCTTTAGAGAATTCACACAAAGACATTTTCTGACCATTTCTTCCAAAACAGATATAAAGAATTCAGTGCAGTAACATTATGCTAAACCCTTATCCAACATATAATTGCTTCCCACACATACTGACATTGTAAAATATTCATTTTTATTGCATTTTAATACTGCACCATCTGTTTCGCCTGCTATATAGAAGATGTGTATATGATTTTGAATACATGCATGAATGCAACCATGAATATATTGTAGAGAAATCCAAATAATAAAATCTTCCAAAGATAATTGAATTATTCTTGTATCATGCACCAATCAATACATATTGCAATATAAATATAATAATAATAATAATAATAATAATAATTATTATTATTATTATACAGCCCTTGCTAACAAATTAAACCATTGCTATAATTGAATGTGACTGAATTGCCATTTCACTTCACTACATTCAAAAAATAGGGTGGTGTTTCTTTAGGAAAGGTACATTCAAATACATGTTAAATAAATTAAACAGAGGGACGCATTGAAATAAATACATTTAACATTTGGCACATTTTATGGATAATATCAAAAAATCTGCCCACAAATAAGAGCAAATAAATCACATCATTCAGACAGGAATGATCAGCTGCCACTGAATGCACTGACATTATGGATGAAACCACACATAACTTTTGAAGATATAACAAGTGACATTTGGTATTTGGAGAGAACGCTTGTGGCTGAAATGTACATATTGTACATTTGAACAGAACTATAGGCAAGAAGTGAATATCATCCAAAAAGTATTTACCCATTTGATGGATACACACTGCCCACCTTTTATATAGATGTTTCCTGCACTCTGTACCTGTGAGGACAGACAAGTCGTGAGACAAAAAGCACAGGTTCCATACTTTGCCAATCATTACTGCCAGGGCTTGCCAGACCATGGCTCTGCTCGCTCTGCAGCAACAGTTCTTAACATTTGATGTAAAGTTTCAGTCAGTTTCCAATAGAAAGACGCAGAGATAGCAGACTTCTCTCTGGGCCAGTGGAAGCAGCAGAGAGAGATCTGGGATTCTTTTTAACTAACACACAGGTATAAACAAACAAAACATGTTAAAGAGCTGTTATGAAACTTTATTATTGCATTGCACAGTACGTGGTAACTTTTACATCAATAAAAAGTTGAATATTCAACTCGAGGCAGTAACCTATTACAGCAGGGGCCCATTAGTGTGTGAATAATGGGGCTCTACTCTTTAAGTTGAATGTCCTGCAGTCCCTTGTTAAGTAAAAGCTACTTCATTTTGTTAACTGCATGCCACAGTGCAGACACTATTAAGGCAAAAGTTACTTTTTGCAATGGAAAGAAAAATGTTGGATGGAAACTGGAGTGAAGCCTTAACTTTTAACTACTGGCAGATAATTAACTTCACCCTATTATGTGAGAGGCTTCATCTTACTCTGCAATTTAGTACAAAAAGTAGCTTTTATGAGAGATGTCTTGCTTTCCTGAAAAGTATCATGTAGTCATGTGATTTCTTGCCATAGTTAATGAAGCCCATATAGGCATAAAATATTGCTAACTAATTGTATTTCCTCTCAGGTGCACGCTGAGGAAATTTCAGGCAACAACGGATACGTGGAGCTTTCCTTCTGTGCCAAGAAGCTCGATGATAAGGTGAGCAGAACAGAAACCAACACGGTTCATAATTCATTAGATACGGTTTATAGCACTACACACGGGTAGCAGAGGTAATCATGTGATAATTATGACGGGATGCATCACTGGCATAGAAGTTACACACATATTCATATTATATTTAAATCATTTTATAATTTAATTGTACAAGGAGAGAAAAAAGTGACATATCACACTTGATATGACACATCTTTGTAGTCACATAATGCTTTAACGGGTACACTTTCTGGTGTTTGGACACATCCTAGTGTCAAATGAACATTATGTGATATCGCATTTTAAACGTTTTTTTATTACTTGTTGATTTCATGTGGTTTTACTTTGAATCTGGATATCACTGACCCTCACTGCTTCTGACTCTAAAACTGTCAAACTTTGCTGAAGGCATATTTCAATCACAAAGACAGCAGGAGCTGGCATCCAATTACGACTGTGATCATCTGACGTCTGCATGTTCTTAGAAACTAGCCTTAGGATGTCAATCTCATAGGCTGCCCTTGATACACAGAGGTATTGGCAGAAAAAACCGAAATGTTCTACAGCCCGTTCATTTATTTTTGAAATTGCAGTTTGCCGTTTCCCGCTAGTCTGAAAGTTAAATTGGACTTGAGTGTTACACAAGGAAAATGATTAAAAAAGATACTAGCTATAGCGTGCATCTTCCCCACAGTCTCTTTATATCTTTCCCTGCATGTCATATTTGCTTTATATATCCAGCTACTGGATACTGCTGGGAGTATTGAGCCTCTGCCTGTGAATCCACCCGCCTGCTTTGTTTAAACTGATGTGAATACAGCTGTGGGCGCAACACTGGGGAGCAGTGGTGTGTAATCGAGGACCAGAGACACTAGAGTGTTCATGTTTTCACTGAAAAAACCCTTTTCAGCAGCTTATTTGGAACAGATTTTGGTAGTTGATGCCGAATAACCAACAACCATGATGCACATAATGATAGACACTGACTCCGTTTACCTGCATGGAACATTTCCTCCTGGTTTGGAAAACAACCAATCTTTAGGTGGTGGATTTGAAACATATCTTGGTGATAAAAATTAAAATAAAAAGGATAAGAAAACAGACTTCTTCTCTCTGATATGGGATAAGGTAGAATTCTTTTTTAAAGTAAAGCAGCAAATATTTATTTAGTTTTGAAGTGATGAGTAATGATTGTAATAACTCTTGCCATTGAGTGATCAGTAAAATATGAGTAGCTTATGTACACATCTGCTACAATCTCCTTTTAGATTAGTTTTGGTCGCCACCAACGCTGAGCTCTTAGGGTGCTAAATGCTCATTTTGTTATTTTGACATTTGGTAAATGAGAACAGTAAAGTTGGTTTGTTAACCACATTCACCAGCTACAAGATGTTAAAACATATTATTGATTTATTGTATATATAAACATATTAAAAAGTGAATTTGAAACAAATATGTTGTAAATAATAAAAGGTAGATGTCAACAGGTACCACAAGTAACTGTTATGCTCTTGTTATACAAATCAAAAATTATTATATGGTTTCCTCCATAAATAGAGGTTACCAGCTATCAGGTCGGTTCCCTACCAATACAATTTATCAGCCACTTATCTGCCAGGTTGATGTTGGGCCTAACAATTTATTTAGCAGATGTTGAGTGAAGGAACGGAGTGTTTCTGATTAGCTGCTCGTCAGGTGTATCACCTCCACCGGCTGTACATATTGAGGGATCACACATTGATGCACAGGAGCATTAATTATGAGATATCGCTCACATCCCGGCCCAGGGTGGGATTTTGACATCTGCGTTTGTGCCACGGATTTCACTGGCTAGCGGTTGCCATGACAACAAAGAGAGGATACTACAGCTCTTTTTGCTCCGGTCCCTCAGGAGATGTATCTGGCTAATGTGGCGGGAAATGCAACATTACACGTACACACACACGTGCGCGTGCACACGCACGTACACTGACACACACACACACACACACACACACACACACACACACACACACACACACACACACACACACACACACGCTTCCCTGAAGAATCAATTGTCCTAAATAATCAGCACTGCTCTGCTCTCAGACGCGTGTGCTTTAGACTGAGAATAATTTAAGGCTACAGTAAATAACCGTGCAGGAAGCTAACTCTTACGCATGTTTTCAAATAAGCTGGTTATTCACTGACGATGTAAATAGACACAGCCACCATAGATAACTCAAATGTGTGATGCTGGGCTATTGCAGATTATTAACATGGGAGGTAATGGAGTGCAAATAGAAACCAATAGAAATATTCCGAACTGCAATGGAGGCTACATTGAAGGAAGTAGCAGGTCATGAATGCTTTTGGCTCAATACAAGTACATAACTACGGCATGAGATGTAAGCTTGCCAAATATTCTCAAACTCTCGTCTGACCAAAAAGCTATCTTTTTTTCCCTCTATCCTGAGTATTTCATCACCGTAGCGACCACTCTGTGCTCTGTGCCTGCTACTCCCTGACCTTTAATCACAGAGATAATTAACTGTGCCTCTACAATCAGCAATGATAAACCACCATCAACAGCCATTTGTATAAATTACAGTTTCCTTTCAAACAAATCATCTAAAGACACTTATTAAAATTGAATATTTAGTAATGAGATTTTTTTGTAATTTTGCTTGTGTTAAGTTCATCATAGCCCCGTTGTAAATGTTATCTGACTGATTAGCTTTAATGCTATAAAGCAAATTAAGTCAAACCAACAGTGTTGAATTTAATGTATGTGTTTTCATTAGGCTTAGGGCTTGAGCTCTCATTAAGAGTCAGTGGTTTTGACATCTTGTTTCCTCTGCAGGATATCTTCAGCAAATCTGACCCTTTTCTGGAAATATACCGAATCAATGACGATCTATCAGAACAACTCGTGCACAGAACTGAGGTAAAATCGTCATATTCCCTTTTCACTTCAAGCAACAGCTGTTTTCTGCCACTTATTTCATATGTAACGGGTTCCTTCTCTAACAGGTGATTAAGAACAACCTGAATCCTGTGTGGGAGCCATTCAAAGTGTCTCTCATATCTCTGTGCAGCTGTGATGCAGAACGTAAGCTCAAGGTGAGAGACCATTAGCAACTAAATCCACCTCAGTGCAAAACGCAGGGGTCAGGAACTGTATAAACAGGGCTTAACAAGAATGAATTAAAGTAGAATATTTGAAAGGTGAATTATTATATTTTGCATGAATAGTTTATCTATGGTCAGGGCAACAGATAGTTAACAGTTGTGTCCACGTGTGCCTACAGTGCCTCGTGTGGGATTATGACTCCAGAGGGAAACACGACTTCATCGGCGAGTTCTATGCCACTTTCAGGGACATGCAGAACATTTCCAGTGGAAATAAGGTCAGTGAACGAAGAGACCGAGGAGAGACAGCCGTGTAAATGTTTCATCCATTTTCAATATGCCTCTCTCTGCTGAAATCCATCCCAGATGAAACCAATGTCATGGTGCTTAAGATGTATTGGCAATGTTTAAAACACTGAACACTGTCTTCAATTTGCTGTGTTTAGGTGACATGGGACTGTGTGAATCCTAAGTACAAACTGAAGAAGAGAAACTATAAAAATTCAGGAGTTGTCATCCTCAGTAACCTTAAGGTAGGAATCAGTTGAACCAATCACTGTTTTACTTTTTACTTACATTATGAGATAGGAATGAATTGTAATTATGAATGCTTGTACGCACTGCATGGTGACACAATCTTCTTTGTTGGTTATCTCTGACTGCTTAGCTTAATGAGTAAATGTTTAAGGATATTTCTTCAGAGGGCACTTTTCGTTTCCGCTGCTTTGAGAAGCTATATATCACAACCATTTTTTTACACTTTATAGTCAACCGATTTGTCGAGTTAATTCAGTTTTAATGACCAGATGCTTCTGAAAAGATGCTTCTGAGGTTTTGCTATAAATACATATTTGTTTTTCTATTGCAGCTCCACAGAGTGTACTCCTTCTTAGATTACATCATGGGAGGATGCCAGATTCACTTTACGGTAAATTGAGCAGTCTGTGTTTAGTAATGCTTCACTGTCCTAGAGCTTTTAACAGGCCCTGGCTGTATGTATTACCCAATAATGTGACATTATCTGCATGTTACATATTGCTTTTATATAAACAGACATTGGTATGGTTTTCTTTAGTGGTCCATTAGCATTCATTGTGCAGCAAAGGTTATATTTTCTGAGCGTGAAACAGTATTTTAAGATTGTTCTCATCCTTTAAACTTTCCCTGATGGTGTTTTTGTACATGCACTCAGTTATTTTTCTTGGCAGCATCGTGGAATAAATTCAAACCTTCAGCTTTTGCCCTTTAGTCTGCCCTCTGTTGTCCAACCTCTCACTCTCCACTGGATTACTGAAGAAATGAATATTCATTTTGAGGATCGCTTTGGTAGATGCAGTTCCTTCTTAGCTGGTTGGATGTGTTCAGGAGCTGGAGCTGTTCCTACAGTATGTGGGTGTAAAAAGCCCAAGTTCATACCTCTGATCAAATAATTCATATTGCCATTATGCAAACTTCAGGCTTGCTCACACATAATTACTTGTAAAATAATAAGAAGCCAAACACTAAAGGTGAGAAGCAAAAACATAAACTTAACCTGCTCATAGCACAATGACGTTCCAAATACAGAAGCTAATGGTGGAGTTCTACTCTAGTAACTGATTCCTATTATTCATACTGCGCACTTCTTTCTTTCAGGTTGCCATTGACTTCACAGCCTCCAATGGAGACCCGAGGAACAGCTGCTCTTTGCACTACATCAACCCTTACCAGCCCAACGAGTACCTGAAGGCTCTGATAGCAGTGGGGGAGATCTGTCAAGACTACGACAGGTTTGTCAGTCTTTTGTTTCTCAGTAAAGGTTATCTGCTGCCTACAGGGATTGACGGTGTCTTGGGTTGTAAAAGAGCGCCGCAGAGGGCCCCTTGCACAACATTTCAGTGGGATCTCTCACACTGAAACAAGCCAGTTTAGCTGAACCATTACAAAAGGATTGGAATTGGAATCATGGAGGACTGGAGCAGATTTGCAGAGGTTTTATGTTTCTGCTTCCCAGTTTGTTTTGAGCTGTAGGAACTGAACTCTTGACTGCTAGCTTCTCTATCTCCAATGAATTTCTTTACTGAAATGTATTTTACATCCTTAATGGATAAATGCAGATGTTCATTTAAATATCTGTTGGCAAAGTGATGCACAACCTGGAACATTTGAGCAAACAGATTTGGACTTCACTGGCATTATTTATGCATGAGGGTGATGTAGGGCTGAAGCAGGGCTCGGTAGAAGTCAAGGGCATTGACACAATATTCTGGACACACTTGACTAGCCATTTTGTCAAAATATCTATTTATTTCCAGATTTCTTTTGACAAACTGACAGAAAGAGGACATTTTGACGTCTGTAGGCACAGTCCGTCTTCTGTATTTTCTTGTCTGACAGACTTTTGACAGAGATTTCTATGTAACTTGTGTATTTATTTATACCAGTCCAGCATAACACATACCACATCCCTCTCACAATAAAGATCTATTTTCACTTTAATCTGTATGCAGTGGCGAGCTGTGACTTTTATACCTAGGCCCTCTGACCCTCCAACCCCCCCCCCTGTTATTTTAAATACAATTAAATCAAGTTATTTTGGTAAAACTAATGAAAAATGTAACAACAAAAAAATATAAAAAATTATATTTAAAAAACAATGTATTTTTTTTTTATGTATTCAAATATTATTTTTTAGAATATCTTAGGCCCTCACAGAGGGCCTAGAGGGCCCTGACGGCTCGCCACTGTCTGTATGTCATACCCCTCTCCTCTCCCATGCTCCCCCATCCTCTTTGACACCCCATGTATCTGTTGGTGCACTGGGCCAATGGCTAGTAAAATCCTATATTAAATGGCTAGATAACAAACGGCAAAGCACAGTATGTGTATAAAATACATTTGGAGACAGACAGATACACATACAACACATGCACTGTGGAATATTATTTTTGCACCAGCCAATGCCAGTTTGTAGGGACAGTGCTGACTGTTTTGCATTCTTCACATGCTCTATGCTCACAGTGGTGGCTGCATTTGCATTCTCCTGTGGATAACTTGAAGATACTGTTTTTTCAGCATCTGGTTCACAGCTACTGGTCCCTTCTTAGCTTGCATAGGCTCATTAGATGGAACTGCAGACGGACACATGCAGAGACAGGGGATAACACCAGGATAGCAGGCACTTCAAAACGAAGTGGGAGGCATTATTGCTGGTGAAATAATGGTGTATAATCAGATGTAAAGACAGAGGAAGTCCAGCGAGAAGAAAACACTGAAGCTATCTGAACAAAGTTATACTTTCATATAATATTCCCGTCACTGTCGATACTGGCTCAGGTCTTGGCTTCAGGCACACACATTGTTTTTAAATGGCTGATTGTCTTGTTGAAAAGAAATATGAAACAATGTACAATTGTGCAAGAAAGTTGTCTTTATTGCTGTCAGGCTTGACGGTACTTTTTAATAATGGGAAATTGTTTATTATATGATATGTGTCAGAGAAAGACCTTCTCATCTGTCGAAACTAAGCCAGATGAGGATTAACACGTAGACTGATTTATGCAGATCCTTCTATTGAATATCAGTGGGGCACTTTCTGGCTAATTATAGCATCCCGAAGATCTTAATAGAGACACTGAAAACCTGCCTTAAAATTACAAGGTCGATATTTTTCGCTTTATGATTTCTGTGTTTACATATACAGTATAAACAACATCATCATACATGGAAACATGCCGCTGGTGCAGAAGAGTGTCGCAAGTGTAGGCAGCCAATCCCTCTCAGGTTGGAATTGTTGTTGAGGTGTAAAACGTGGGCATGCAAACCTTTTAGCCTTTAGTGGATATAGGTGATGTGGGATTTTAGAGTCCTTGCAGAGGAGTGCATTATGGAGCTGGAGTGACTAGCTTTTGTCTGTGTGGGCAGAGGCTCGTATACCTTGCTGAGAGGGCTATTATACCGGCCACATTTCCCTGTGGCTGCTCACAAAGGGAGAAAACAAGGCCCACCATGAACCTCATAGCAACATTCATAAGATGGATATGCTGCAAACGTAATCCTCTCTGTATTGTCTGGGCTGAGGATAATGTGTCATGTTGTCTCTACACCTATAGAGATCTATAAGAAATTCCTTAATTGGCATAGAAATCAATTAGTTGAGGCTCTAAGGGCACATTTATAAGAGTATGTTATTCACCAAAGAGTAGTTTGCCTACGAGTCTTGAGGTCGAGGTAATGAGTGCTGTACAACACATCTGAGATAAAAAATGTCTCAGCACGAAACACCCTTTTCCCATTCAAATATTTTCCCGAAATGGTACCAAACACATTTCTCCCTATTATTTTGCACCTATACAACATACCTTGGTGTTTTGGAGAGGTCACAGTAGCGGGAGTAATTTTGATGAAAATGGGTTAAAAAAGTTAAATGAAAACATATAAAGGTTGAAGGTGAGTTTAGAGCAATGGCAGTTTTTCATGCTTTTTTTTATCAGTTACATGACCTGCTGGACACTGAAATCTATTAATTAGTTTGGTACATTATTCCCAGAGTGGGTCTATATCTGCAAATTATACAGTACATTAGCCAGGGCATGTGGACAGGCTGCATTACAGAGAATACAAGTTGGACTCATTCACATGTTTTTCTTTTCTTGGAACAGAGGATAATGATGGCAGCCAAATGTGTGTTCGAAATGGCCCATGTACCATATCCAATGATGTCTTCCTAACAGGCTGTCGCTGTGGCCATTTGCAGCCACTCCGCAAGGTTATGGGAAGAGAAAAAAAATATTTTCTAGAGAATGAGCAACAATAATAAGACAAATAATAGGAATAAGAAGAATAGATTCCTGCTGGTCACTAAGCTATTGCATTAACAGCAGTTGCCACTGCTACTAACCATTATACCAGAACAACAACTTTCTGAGTAAAGTTGCTTCTGTCAGGACTTCACCGTTAAGAGTTGGTAGCTCACTCTGACAGTGTAACCATCATCACTCTGCCAGCCTCTATATGAGTCCACACCCATCAGAGATAATTAAACACATTGGATAGCTCTGAAAAAGCTGCCTCAAAGCCATGTTAGCTCAAAGAGTGGACAAACAACTCTCCAATCAACACTTGTCAACACACCAGATAAATCAACACCTATTAACTGTGTAAAGTTGGCTGTGTATCCTTTGGTGCACTCACACCATGTCCAAAGTAAATGAATTATTATTAGGATTCTGTCGATCTTGAGATGCTATTTGAGATTGAGCTGGGCTGCAACATGAGTTGTTTTGCGAGTCATAAAGGCATGGACAGTAGATGTTCTTATAATGGAGGCAGCCATTAGAGAACACTGTAGGTAAATATTCCCTGATATGAATATAAACATGCTGTGACAGCTCTGCTGCTAATCGTAAACTCCACTAATTCTAGTTCATAAAGTAAACACAAAGTATTTCCTCTGTATTTAATATCCAGGCTGTCCTCAAACCAGATTAAATTAATGGGTTTGGTTAAAAAAAACAGAATGGTCACAACATTAAACTGCATTCCCCAAAATACATTTATTTAGTTGGGCCTGTTAAAAGCTCCCATCTTTGAAGAACATATCAAATAATTAAAACCAAGTACAACAAAAAAAAAAGCAAAAAAGCTGTTTGAATTTTTAAGGCATTTTTTATTTTTGATTGCAATATGAGATTAATTTATAATATAAGAACATGTTCCACGTTGAACTGTAGTGTGGTTTTCTGTGTGGTCTTGCGTATCTACATGTACAATGTAGCATGTGTATACTCCAAGCATCTCATGTGTTGTAGTTGACGGCAGGGACAGTGAGGACAAGATGGCCAGGTCTTCGTTTACCTTAAAGCTCTTTAAAAAAACAACCAGCATCTTCTCTGAAGAGGAAAATATTCACTGGGCTTTTTTCTTTAAATACAATCAACATTGTTCTATTCATTTTGCATTGAGCTGCTGTTTGCAGACCGTTCATCACCACATTGCATTTTCAAGAGTTGACCACTCTTCTGCTGTGTTTGAAATGAATCCCTTATTTAATTCTCATGTTATACAAACTTAAAAGTTCACGTTATGGTTGTCAGTAAAATTGTAAGGGACACATTGCATTGTGGAAGTCTTAACAAAAAGGAGTGTACATGTCATGGACACTTATATTTCGTGACAATGGGGGAATGTTTGACTATGCTAGTGAATGGATTTCATGATCAGATTTCAGATACACAAGTAAATGAGCAGAGGTTGAACATATCGCACTCTCGGTAAACAGAGATCGTCTTGTTATTTATACTAATCTCTGTTTCCTGGCCTTGGAAAAGAGCTCTCATTTCAGCATAGCAGAGCCTCTTATAGTAATATCTGCCCATCTTAATTGTGAGCTGAAAAATGGAGAGGATGAAGACTGTGGGAAGCTCTTTGAACAGGTGCAAACACTGGCTGCGGCCACGGATTTCAAATTGTAGTTTCAGCTTTTAACATTTATTAAATTCAACGACGCAGATGGTTTGCCATCAGAAATATGAACGCATGGATAATATATCAATGCTTTTCAGAACACTTTCATAGGCTATCTCATGTTTAACTTCAGTAGCTGAAATATATGACTGGCTAATTTGCTTATCTTTTCAGTGACAAAAGATTTTCAGCTTTGGGGTTTGGTGCCAGAATCCCTCCAAATTATGAGGTGAGTATTTCTCCTCTTATCTCTCCCTGTTTTGTTTTTTTATACACAGCCTCCCTTTTTTATTATTTCCCCTAACACTGGCCTTCTCTTCACATGAACAATATTATGCATATATTCATGTTCGCATGGAATCCTGGTATATTCCTTCACCCTGGGACTTGCATTAAGCAGCTGATTTCATTGACCAGTTTTATGACACAGTCCGTCATTCTATCAACATTTCACATTTTAAACTAATTACCAACTTTTTATTCATAAGCCCCATGTCTTAAAATATCAACTTGTCTGCAGAAAATAACATGTTCTCATAAGATAAAAGCCCTGTAGTGTTGATGCTTAATTTACATAGCCATTCATGAGTGTGAGAGAATTTGTTTAAGCAAATTGGAATTTGAGAACCAAAGCCTTCAGCGAATCAGCATAAAGCCCTCAGGAGATGTCTGACATGTGAAGAGTGCACACACACACACACACACACACACGCGCACGCACGCACGCACGCACGCACGCACGCACACACACACACACACACACACACACACACACACACACACACATTGATACTCTTTTTCATACCAGACAAACATAGGCTGTGTTTTTGTATTGATTGTTTTTTATGATTGCATTGTTCTATGTGCAGATATGAAACACTTGTAATTATCTTTTTACATCATACAAAGATTCATGGCTTTGTAAACTCAAAACTATTCATTTCTGAATTAACCACAACAGTGACTGCCCAGCAGAAGCCACATTTATCTTATTTCATGCTGCTGCCACATTGTGATTTGTGCTGCAGATGAATGCTAATTAAGTCATTACAATGAACTCATATGCTACACCTCTGTGAGGGGTTGATGGACCAGGAATATTTCTCAGTGTTGTTCTGCACTGTTGTATCCTTTATTATGCATCATGTATACACATTTTATTTGAATTCATATAAAAAACAAAGAACCAAGATTTTCCAGCCAAGGATGTACCAGATAATAATTATGCGCATTAATGGGAAGCTTCCATTTTATTGCAATGAATATGGCCTATCGTGCTCTGTTTTTTGACTGTTGTGTAATTGGATTTTGGTCTGAAAGTAAAGCTGGAAGAAAACCACAGGATTTAATGATAGTATATGTGTGTTTTTAGCAAGGGTTTAAAGCATGGGTGTCCAAGCTTTTTTCACCGAGGGCCACATACAGAAAAATATATACGAAGGGCTGGGCCACTCACTAGAGGTATATTGCCTCATAAGTTCAGTTATAAGTTAGCAAAATCAATCAAATGTAGGTAAATAATGCTTGTGAGTGTTGGCAGCTCCTCCCTTAAAACAGAAGCCTCCGATTGATTATAATAAGGAGAAATAGGAAGGGTGTATTTCAAGCTTGTTATGTAAATAAGTCATTGGGCTTTTTTCTTATCAACTATATATGTTAGAAAATCTTTCCAGCTTTAATTGACTGAGTGGTCTTATTAACACATGAATACTACTGTGTAATATATATTTTTTACATTTATATTTAAGAAGTACAATATAAGATAAGCACAAGTTTCATTTGTGGGGCATATTTCATTATACTTTTTTAATTAGCTGAGGGCCGATTCAAAATGGTCCGCGGGCCGCATTTGGCCTCCGGGCCGTAGTTTGGACACCCCTGGTTTATAGCCTTAATACGATCTACTGATTTACAACTGATCATGAACGGATGGATACATGTATGTAAAGCATTTGGTAACCATTGCAACACACATGCAATATTGATAATAAACATTCATTACATTTTGATTTTCAGGCAAGTAATACTAATATCACTTATTTAAGCTTTTTGTAATAGCAGATTATATTAACAAATAAGTATCATTGAGGTTTGGAAGAGTGTGAACAGATTTGAACTGAAAGGCAACAACAGATCACATCTTTCGTTAGTCTGGACCAGATGAACACTCATCTAATCTGCTTCATCTGGAGTGTGGAATGTTGCCAAATCCTGATTTGTGCTCTGGATCATCTGATATTACCTATTTCCAAATGAGCTTTGTATTATTCTAACAAGTGAGCAAAGTACAGATAAAAACCCACATATGGAAATGATCAAATAACCAAATCTGATTTCCAAATTTGGAAAGATTAGGACTGACAAAAGGTTTTTCAGAGCTTTAAAGGGAGTGTTGATTTTGCACTGATGCTAATCCTCATACATCTGAACAGGCAAAGCCAAAGATAAGATTGTATTATTGAATGAGTGTCACACAGTAGCATACAAAGCACAGGTGTAACTAATACAATTACCAATGCTCTGTTCCATTTTTCTGTCCCTATAAGCCATGCCAGCGAACCAGCCTGCACAATAGCAGAGCCTCAAAACTGGCACGTTCAAATGGAAGACAGACAGCCATTATTAATGTTATTAGTTACACCTGTGCATTTCCATGTCAAAAGGTCCACCATGAAACAGGCCTGTTAAATGAGATATACAAAACAAGAGCCCCTCTCTTGCAGTGGCCCCATTCCACAATACAGTGACTGAATGCAGGCTGTTAATCACATTAAAGACAGAAATGACTCAAAAGAAAGTAGCCAGCTGGAGAAAAGTCAGTTGTCACTGATCTGGCTGACAGTTGGTGCTGGTGGAAAAAAAGGTTTCTTGTGAGAGGAGGTATCTAGAAGGGGATTCATTTCGTGCCAAGTATACAGCTTTTGAATAAACTAAATAAATATGACGTTTGGGTGGCGAAAATAGGCCATATAAAAGAAGAGGGCTTGAAGTCTCTTTCCAGAAACCAGATAGCATACAGTGAATGATGTACATGCAATACTGTTTGTATCACTACACATGTGAAAAAGTGAGGGACATTTAAAAAATTGGTTGAAATTGTTTATGTATATATATATATATGAATTCAATAATTAAGGGGCGGCTGTGACGCACTGGTTTAGTGTGCTGATAATCAGATCAGGGGACCAGGGCACTGGTTAAATCCCACCTTGACCGCCACTGCAGTCAACATGCCGGTGTGTCCTTGGCTAGACAATTCAGTGTAAATTGCTCCTGTGGGTATTGTCCACAGTATTCAATGTATTACATGTCTAATATATGTAACATATAATGTAAAGCGCTTTGAGTACTCCGGCAAAAGTAAATACCATGAATTATTATTAATATTTTGACCATAGTTTTCTAAGTTCCAGCTTGCGTTTTGTTATCAGTTCTTGATTATGAGCGCATCATTTCCCTGCCTGTAATTGACATTCAAAACGAATCATGTAATGTTCCAACCTGGTATTGAACATGACTGCCATAATAATTAACGTGCCAGTTGCAAACTGACTCCCAGTATCTATTGATGTGGTCAGTAGTAACGTTGTAGATGCCATCAGAAGTTATTTCTAAATAACACTCAAAAGCAGTAGGACAACTAACATTTCCAATTTTCAGTCTGTGTCACTTTTGGTTTGTTTCAATTCTACAAAACTCATCTTTTCATAACCAAATTGTACAGAGCAATACTGTGTATTCTAGGCTTTAGCAGAGTCTAAACATGGCAGCAGATTCTGGGGACAAAGCCTCCATGATAATTAAATAACTGTTTCCCATTTTTCTCTTTATCCGCAGGTGTCACATGACTTTGCCATTAACTTCAACCCAGAGGATGATGAATGTGAAGGTAAGGAAGGGAGAAGTCAGGTTTTTATTTAAATATTTGGAACATTTAAAACATGTTTCGTTAAAGTTCAAGTTATTTTACTTCTGTAAGGGGCAAAACATATTCAAGCCTCGTAAGAATAATTGACTGCAGTGATTCATCAATCTGGTGTTTAGTTTCAGCTTTTTTAATGACAAGTGTAGATAACTGTAGATAATGTTATTGATTTTTCCTTCATTTTGCTATGTGCTCTCTTTGATCAGAGATCCAAGGAGTGGTTGAGGCGTACCAGAACTGCCTTCCTAAGATCCAATTGTACGGCCCGACCAATGTTTCTCCCATCATTAACAGGATAGCCAAACTGGCAGCAGGCGATGGCAACATTAAAGACGCCTCTGTGAGTTTCTCTTTTTATACTCTATTAGAAATAAATGGACGTAATACAGGCTTTGTTGAAATGCATCCCGCTGAGTTCCCAGAGTGAGAAGCCTCTGGTTCACCTCTGCTCACAGTTACAATGCCCATGGCGCAAAAGAAGAAAGTGCCTATCAAAGAGCAAATTAGTATTCTTTAAATTATGATGTGAAATCCCGTACTGACGTATATTTAGTTTGCTTTAATACATTTTCCAAATCATTGACCCCTTTTTTGTGTTAAAAGAATCTCATAAACTGCTGTTAAAATGGGATTCAACACAAATGCCTAATAATGTTACTGAGCGCTTTATCTTTCATTGATATCTCGTTGGGAATAGGAACAGAAGTCTCTTATCTATTTACGGTCTAACATTACCCAGAAGGGTTCACTGACATTAGTTTCTAAGCTATCATACTCTTGTTATTGTACTGGCCTTCATGTCATTATAACTCTCCTTTTCTATTCCATCTTTTGATCAGTGAATGAGCTGCAGTAAACAACCAGGCTTTCAGGGCACACATTAGAGATGAATACACTCAAAACATTGAGTAACACATAAACACTTTAAGGTTCCAATGAACCATCCACTTCTCATGGGACCAATCAGAAATAATTACATGTCCATTTTCTCCGACACCTCATATTCTCCTTTTACACCGTTCAGTGGAAACATGAAATAGTTTTCACACATACATTCACACACACACAAGGATTTTTTTTTTTTGAAATATGTATTTTGTTTTTAATAGCCTTCCTTTTTATTTGTTCTTGATCCCCTTGTTTTCACTGCTGTACACACTGGCACTCACACTTACTATAGAGGCTTCACAATTCCCCAAAACAAAAACACCAAAACACACACTTAGAGGTTTTCTTGCTAAACCACATGTTGCTGTTAAAATGGGTTGGTGTCAGTATGGACATAATAATCTTATATTTTTCCAGCGATACCACATCCTGCTCATCCTCACGGATGGTGTTGTGACGGACATGGCAGACACACGTGAAGCGATTGTGCGAGGCTCCTACCAGCCTCTCTCCATAATTATTGTTGGAGTGGGCAATGCAGACTTCACAGACATGCAGATTTTGGATGGAGATGACGGAGTCTTACGTTCACCGAAGGGCGAGCCAGTCCTCAGGGACATTGTGCAGTTTGTGCCCTTCAGAGACTTCAAAACGGTCAGTTTTTCTCTCCGTCTGTCAATCTAACTTCTTGACTTTCAGCCTCAACCCCACTTCTTCTGACATCTGTGTTAGAAAAACAAGTGGACATTGATTTTTTTTACATAACACCCTCTCCATTGTTGTTTAAAAGAGTGCATAGGCAGCAGACAGACATTTTAACAACAATCAATAATGAATAAATAAGTAGCGAAACCTAATAAAAGCAGAAATACAGGATACAGGGTGATGAGAGGTGAAGAGATTAGTATGAAAATGATCTGAATCATATGCTGTGGTTTTTAAAGTTACCATATCTCAATACATATGGCAGGTTTTAACCTGATGCTTTTCCACAATGCTTCAAAACACAATATAAGGGAATACATGAATTTCATCCCTTCAGGAGAGTTTTAAAAAATATATGCGATATAAGAGCTTATATACTGTATATACATATATATATATACACTTTATGTTTTTTTTTTCTTTAAATGATCGCTCATATATATAGTTAACCTACATATGTATTACATAATATTATTACATATTTGTAACACTTACATTTTATACAATTAAAAATCAAACAGCAAGTGCACTCCCTTTTTATCCAACAAAGTGATGTGTCCAGACTTGGCACATCAATTGTTAAACATCTAGGCAGATTTATCTTGCAGGCCTGCACATGTGAAATAAATGATATTCATTAATGAGTTTTATACTACTGACATTTCTTTTTCCAATTATGCTTAAACAAAAGTATTTTTTACCGACTGCATGCTAGTTAAACATTAAATAATCAACTATAAGTTTTTAACAGTTACACTCTAATACAATATCTGATACTGACTGTCTTGAATATGTCTGAAACATAAAAGTATTTGTTACCCCATCTGTAGTCCCCAGACAAATCCAGCTATTCTCTGTCTCCATTGCAGGCTTCCCCTGCAGCCCTGGCCAAATGTGTTCTTGCAGAGGTGCCCAAGCAAGTAGTGGAGTACTACAGCCATAGGGCCATCTCCCCAATGTGTCCAATTAGTGAGTCACTGACCCCCGTCCTCACCCCTATTGCCACCACCCCAACAGAATAAAACCCCAGCCTGCTCCTGGGACCAACCTTTGAACACAGCATCAGTCCAGAACACTGAGAGGGAGAAAGGACGCATGCCTCGCAATTTTGGACAATTACTGAATTTCTAAATGTGTTGTTACTCATTTATTTCATTCTTCACAAGTGTTTACATAAGGACAGCACTACAGAGGCTGTTGGTTACATGTGTCTGTTCGATGTGGATCCAGCGTTGTTCTCCCTGGCTGTGAAAACCTTGACCATCCAGCAGCTTCAGTATCAGTCCTGGAGGATTGTGTTGTTTTTTACCCCACATTTGTATGCATGCAGGCCAATCCCTCAGTACTGACCCATCCAGCGGATGCAGACTTAAAATTCCTCACTGCTCAAGACATTCAGCCCCTCTACCCTCTCTATTATGTTACTGTTTTGCTTATTTGACATCTTCAGGTACTTTTGAAGATAATCTGTACAGTACTGTATGTTGCAATCAAAATGATATTGCTCAACTTGAAAATACTGACAACATTTAATCCAGATGTTATATATATATATATATATATATGAGTTACAGGAAGAAATGCTGCATTCAGACCGATTAATACCTTGACCTTTCTTTATGTACCTACATTTTTCTGGCTGCAATATTGGCCTTATATTGGATAAAAATACAACCATATCTCTAAATGAACAAAGATAGCATATTTAAAATCAGTCATTATCATGAGTTGATTTGAAGTGGAAAATCATAAACATGAGTGAAAACTCTGTTTCTAAAGTGCACCAGCCATTCTCAATAGAAAATCCTTATTGATACACCATGAACCATTAATTACACCACCCCCACGTAGGGAATATGAAAGCAAGTAATGCTGAGTGTCTGGGCTGTTAGCAGGTTGCCAAGTTAGTGTATTCTGTGTAAAATATTGATCAAATCCACCAGTAATTAGGTCTTAATAATGCCAGGTGAGGAAACAGCAGCAATGGGGGAAATCCTGGATTGGTTCCAATATGTCTCCCTTTGTACCTTGTACCTTGTACCTTCTACATCTGTGAATCTTTAAGTGACTTCTGCTATGTGTAATATTTGCTATGGCTCGAGCTTGCGTATGCTTCTTTCAGTTACAAAAGGGAGCTCACAAGTCATAAAAACATGGAAAATACAGCCATGTAATCATCTGGCATGTGTTTGGGTTTCTGCAGCATAAGTTGCTTCTTATGTTTTTCTCCAAGAGAAGACAAATGGTTCAGTGAGTTTGGTGGCTTTAGTATAAACTGTGAGAATGATCCTTCATGTCAAATGAATACTTTCCTTTTGAATAGTCTGCTATTGTTGTCCTTCACATTCCTGCTCTGTTTTTCTTCTTCTTTGTGCTGCTTTTTATACGCAATATCATTTAACTCAATGTTTTGTAGGGAAATTAAGTGGAGAGTGCAGAGTTTAGATCCAATGAAAGCACAAAGCCGATTAAAACAAGTGCTTCAATACACACGCTAATATTCGTCAAACCAGCTCTAGAATGTGTTAAATTTGACGTTTGCCCATGTTTGTACACGTCTCAAGAACAAACTTTTTCTGTGAATCTGTTCTTTTCATTTTCAAGAATTTCTTGCCTGAATCTCTAACCTTCACTTTAAATGACCTTGTCAGGGTTGTGCAGATTGTCGTCATAGTGTTCGGTGCGTAGTCTGTAACAGTTCACATAAAGCTGTACCATGTTTCGGCCTCAGTATTTTCCCAAAATGTTGGCCTCTAACAGAAACAAGAAATGAGAGATGTCACATATTATTACAATTTGAAGAAGTGCATAAAAGTCAATTGAACGAGAAAGAAAAAAAGTTGCAAAGACATTTTCAAAAGGCATCCTCCTGGCATTCAAACCTTTTCATCACATATGCAAGGCACCTCTAAATGATTCCTTCCTATTTAAAAAATATGGATGGGTTTACCTTAAATCTGGACTGGAAAATGAATATTCAAGATGTATCAAGAGCAAAACTTTCACAGATCTATTTTAACTTTGAATTTAATATAATAATACAATTAGAATATTTTGCACTTACCTTGGTTTTGAATTGCAAATGCAAATGAGTATTTTCATTTCATTTAGAGGTAAAACATACACCTTACAGATTCAAAGAAATTATATCTGGTCAAATTATTTTATGAATGAAAGTCAAACATTGGTGCCCTTATTAGCTGGCTAACTGAGAAGCATAAGTGACCTAAATGCAAAAGTGTGTAAAATCCTCAGAGGTCACCGAATAGGTTCAACCCTAACTATGTTTTGCTTGATTGGTTTTCTCTTCCAGTAATGCCTCTATACCTTATTCACCTGCTTGTTGCTCTTACATGTATCTTATATGGTGTATTTGTGCTCTGAATGGTGACTAATTCACTTGGCCAAAAGCCATTTAATACATTGGAAGACTCTTGCAGCTTCTCAAACATACACATATCCACCCCCAAGCTACATAATTAATCTGACTTTGATTTGTCCTCTAGAGCTTTACCAGTCCTCCCCAGATACAGACTATTGACTTCTTATGAATACACCTAAACACAGCGGGCTCTGCTGTTGGCTGCTCTCTGAACTCCTTTGAAGATCACAACTATCGAGGATTCCTCTGCCGCTGTGGATCACAGGACGAGTCCGATCGATTCAGCAGGCCTAGATATGGAGCCATATCAGTAAATGATGTGGAGGGACTGTGGTCTCACATCTGAAGTTAGAGGCTATAATAATAAGTGTTGCTATACATGTTTTATTGATAAACCTTTTTACAACACAAAAAGTATGAAAACATATTCTGATTACAAAATTAATATCATAAAAACTAAGCATTTATTTATGAAACCAGCCTTATGATCACCTACAAATCCTTGGTGGCAACCTTTTGCTTATTGATTCAGGCAGGAAGCAAACATATTAGCCAATATTTCGTCAAGGCAAACCAGCTCTATTAATATCTGAAATTAACTTATTTTCCCCGAATACCTCGACCACCTTATTGCTACATTGCCTCAGGTTATGAGCTGCATCGGCTCAAGTGGTTCATTACCCTGTCCTCTTGACATTTCCATGAGATATGATTCTACAATCTTAGAACATACAAAATGTTATTCCTTTATCGGATAGGAATTGTATAGTTGTATTTATTTCACATTTTTGTTCTCTAATAAGTAATCAAAAAATGCCAAAATAGGTTTTTCTAAGTACAAATATCAAAACACTGTGCCAATAACATTTGTTATGTTCTCCTTGAGCTATCTGAAATATGAAATGTTTCCAGATGTTTTATGTAATTCATGTAGAGTGATGCATGGGTCTTTAATGCCTTGCCAGATTTGCCCTAAACTAACAACGCTTGAGACCTTTTTGGAAAAATATTTGTTAAATTCCTTATCTTTCTCATTAGAAGACCAGTACCAGATTCATTGCAAATATTATGTATTATTGTGTGGTTATGTTCAGGAGCTAGCAGAACCCATTTGGTGTTGTCACTTTATAAAAACTAAAATCCTTCATGTTTTGATGAGAAACCGTCATTTGTGCCACTGAAACACTGGAGACAATAAAAACACAGTTCATGTGGCCATCTTGCTCTGCAGATTAAAAAGAGCTGAGAAGAATTAATTGAGCTGCTTATTTCCCCTTATCTCATTGGACCATTGTCCGACAAAATGAACGAGGCATAGGTTTTACACTGCACTGATGCATTTGACATTTTTCATAGACAGTCTTTGTCTCTCTCTCTCTCTCTCTTTCCCCCATCCACCGTTAATCAAGACAAGGTTTACAACCCGTAAACATAATATGCAACTGGTGTTACTGCAGACCGTGTGGGTGAGAAGCAACCCATGCGTCATTAGTAAATATTTGATTTGTTCAAAAGGAAGAAAGGGATTTGTTGCATGCTTTCTTTTATTGTTAAGCTGTGCTGTGCAGTCATTCCGTTGGGTCGTAAGATATGCTAATATGCAAGCCTGCATTTGCACAAACCTCTGCGCTTGTAGTTTACGCTCTCTGTCTTGCAAATAGATGAATAAATCTAATCCTTAAACTGACATTTTCTTTGTGATTTGTTATTTATAACAATTAATTAAAATGTTTTGTCAAAAATCAGATACGCCTGTCTGCTTATTTCTTCCAGTTTCATCTGATCCTACTCACTCGTGTAAAATTTTCTCACCGCTGCAGAGGAGCGATACATAGAAAATACAACAATATTAATGTACTTGATGAAATGTAGGTTATGCTATCGTGTACACATTTGCCCTGTATGGTTTCGCTGCTGGTGCTGTGAGTACTTAATACATGGGAAGAGGAACTGAGCCTACTCTTTAATTCCATCAGACAGCTCTTTTCATTCAACGGCTATTGTTGAGAGCACTGAATAACGGTGGTTTCCATGGTGACACCTACTTGTGGGGAAACGTAGACCTTCAATTTTGTCAGATTCAGGGACAAAGATGCAGCATGTAGTGAGTGATCTGGGAGGAGGCCATTCGACATTATCATGAGAAATGTAAGGCTTTGATTGTGATGGCCGCTGACCTTCCCAATGCCACTGGTTCTCCAGCGGGGCTGTGAGCCCCAGGTGAGCTCTGTGTTCAACATTAACACTTCCTCGCTCTCACTCGCCTGTTACCCCTTCCCTGCATGGACGACTGATTTATGACCACAATTAAAAAACACTCACAACCGCTTAACATTCACTGGCAATGAAATCAACAGCAGGCTTGCACCCTGGGACAAGGTGCTGTTGTTTAGTGGAAACAGCTCATTGCCTTCACGTTATTAGATTACCTTTAATGCCTTTAAACACAGCGTGGCTTCCCTAACACTGGTTGTGCTGGGAGGTCTAGCTGGAAGCCTTGTTAAAACAGAAAGGGGATCCAATGGCTTTATTCTCAGTGACTGGGTGCCTAATGCCAGCCCGTAATGAGGAAATGACTAATAAGAGTAGGAGAATGGGAGATCTCAGTAGTAGCCGTCTCCTCCTTCCCCGAGGGGAACAGCACACACCTTTGAAATGCTTCCAGCTCGCTCCTCTGATGTTGTCTCTAACATGCTTTGTATCTCCCTGTCGCTCTATGCATTTATTGAACAGCACATACATACATGTTTATATTCACACCTACACACAAACACACTTTGAAGAAGGAAGTTCAGAATGCATCCCAAATGAATTATAAGGCTTTACTGACAAGCTCCTGGAGTGCATTGTTACTTATGCAACACATTACAAAACCTTTCAACTATACATTGCCACTATTATAATATATTCTATTTTGTTTCAATCGATGTAGTGTTCCAAGTCACCAGCTCGATCAAAAAGCTCTACGCAGAAAGCCTGACTGAAGTGAGTCTATTGAAACGTGTCAATGGATGAGTCATATAGCATCAAGACTGACACACACTGTTAAAGAAGGAGTACAAAACATTTCTCAAGAGACATAGTGGTACTTTTGCGGATTTATTTGAGTTTGATTGAGCTTCTGTGAAAATATTGCATCCTCATGCAA